TTGCCGGTAATTTAAACAACCCCTGAACCTTTTTATTTAGTCGAAAAGTGCTTTGGATCATGATTTAAGCTGTTCCAGTCAGGATTTGCCACAAATATTGCAACCTTTGGGCTTGTGGATGAGAACCAGAAAATGAAACCAATTACGAAGCGCATATAAACTAAAGCAGGCTGCTATAGTCACAATTCTTCAAACCAAGTAACATGCAAAACCCAGTGTCAGCAGTGACAAGTGACATTACTTGGGTTTCATAGAACCATAGAGCTGGAAGAAACCTCAGGAGGTCATCAAGTCCAGCCCCGTGCCCTAGGCAGGACCAATCCCAACTAAATCAATCCAGCCAGGGCTTTGTCAAGCCAAGACTTAAAAACCTCTAGGGATGGAGATTCCATCCCTGCCCTAGGGAACCCATTCCAGTGCTTCACCAGCCTCCTAGTAAACGAGTTTTTCCTAATATCCAACCTGGACCTCTCCCACTGTAACTTGAGACCATTGCTCCTTGTTCTGCCATTTGTCGCTCTTGTGAACAGCCTCTCTCCATCCTCTTTGGAACCTCCCTTCAGGAAGTTGGAAGGCTGCTATCAAATCCCCCTTCACTCTTCTCTTCTGCAGACTAAATAAACCCAAATCCCTCAGCCTCTCCTTATAGATCATGAGCTCCAGCCCCCCAGTTGGTGATTGAGAGAAGGGTTTCAACAAAAGGGGGGGAACCTCATTCACCCCGAATTTGCACCTGACTGGACCTGTGACAAGTGGAGATAAAGCATTATCACTGGGGCCTGATGAAATGCATCCTAGAATACTCAAGGAGCTGATAGGGGAGGTATCTGAGCCTCTAGCTATCATCTTTGGAAAATCATGGGAGACAGGAGAGATTCCAGAAGACTGGAAAAGGGCAAATATAGTGCCCATCTATAAAAAGGGAAATAAGAACAACCCAGGAAACTACAGACCAGTTAGTTTAACTTCTGTGCCAGGGAAGATAATGGAGCAAGTAATTGAGGAAATCATCTGTAAACACTTGGGGTATGTCTACACTACCCTCCTATTTCGAAATAGGAGGGTAATGTAGGCATACCGCACTTGCAAATGAAGCCCGGGATTTGAATGTCCCGGGCTTCATTTGCATAAGCCG